CAATTCATGGCTCTTGCATCACAACAATGCACCAGCTCACACGGCACTGTCTGTGAGGGAGTTTTTAGCCAGTAAACAAATCACTGTATTGGAACACCCTCCCTACTCACCTGATCTGGCCCCAATGACTTCTTTCTTTACCTGAAGATCAAGGAAATATTGAAAGGAAGACATTTTGATGACATTCAGGACATCAAGGGTAATACGATGACAGTTCTGATGGCCATTCCAGAAAAAGAGTTCCAAAATTGCTTTGAAGGGTGGGCTAGGCACTGGTGTCAGTGTATAGTTTCCCAAGGGGAGTACTTCGAAGGTGACCGCAGTGATATTCAGCCATGAGATATGTAGCACTTTTTTTAGGATGAGTTTGCGAACTTAATTGTCAAATCTTGTACCTTTCTAAATCCGAGAAAGTCTGAGCTCCAGAGTACCAGTGACCCCAGGGGGACTGGATACAGGGTAGGGACTGTAGCACCCATAGGAGTCACTGAGTCTAGCCCAGCCAGCCCTGTGACCCCACCTTGGAGCTGCTGGTTGTAATTCAGCTGCAGGCCGATTCCACCTGAGCAGTCTTTACAGAGCTAGTGGACCCAGGCAGGGCTGGTGTGTGTGGTCCTGGGATGCGGGATCCCCGTCACTGGCCTTCCTCTGGCAGAGGTCGCTCAGCAGCCAATTTAGGGCCTGGCCTCGAGGACACGCTCTGTGTCCATGTGTGAATATTTCCTGAGTTCTCACCTGCACTGTTGTCTTGAGTCAGCATTTCACCACCAAGGCCAAGTGTATACATTTTTGGGCTGTGACATCTGAAACGCTATTTCTGCATGAAAATAAGAATTCAAGCCCTTAGAAGTTTCCGAGTGGGTCTTCTGCAGCTGCACCAAGTTGTTTCATGGAAATAAATACGTTTTTCAGCTTGGCTCCTATTCCGATTGAAATAAGTGAATTTATTTTTACAAAGTGTCCTTATGGAAAACTTTGAAAGCAACGCATTTATTCATTTGGCTAGAAAAAAATCCCATCTGCCGAGGAGGGGAGGGCTCAGGGGCGCACACCAGACCGGAATTAACTCTAATGCCATCGTCTGAATGTGGCCATGGTGACAGCAGGACCTTAAATGTGATTTTTATACTATTCATGGTCATTTCAGAAGGGGATGATTTAATTCTCAGTTTCTTTATATTTTATAGACAGCAGCTCAATTACATGAATAAATGTCTGGAACTCTTTCTGGCTTTGAGCTTACCTCATAATCTCTTAGAAGCAATATTAGCAAGCGAGGAAGCCCAGCACAGCTAATGTCATTGTCTGTGTGTGTCAGTCTTGGACAGATCACTATTTACAATGGAATATGTCAGAATATCCGGGGGTGAAGACTGTGCGGTTCCCAGATGGCCAGATTTGGAAGCCAGACATTCTTCTTTATAACAGGTAAGCACGTCGGACAAAAGGGAAAATGGCTTTATCCTGCTTATGTTTAACAATCAAGTGTATTGGAGTCTTCCTGTAGATATGCCGGAGACGTTACCTATGATTTGGGGCCATCACTCCCCACGAGGTTGTGTAAGTGGCCAGGCCCTTGAGAAGCAGCTCTGCCCCCTCTCCAGTGTCCGCTGCCTCAGCGCGCAGGCTCACGTCACCCAGCACACTGCCATAGGGCTTAGGGCTGGGCAGCAGTTCCGGTGAAAGCGGGACATGTTGCTGGGTCCCGGGACGCCCGGCTGGAGTCCACGGTTGGGACCTGTCCTCACTGGTATGGTCCCCACCGTGTCCTGGGTGAGTCCTGCGCAAAAGGAGCTGAGTGCTCGAGGACTCTCATGTCTAGCTGTCCTTGGAAGCTTGTCACACAGGCTGTGTACCTGACAGAAGAAAGGCAGGTGGTGGTTGTGTTCTAATAGTCCTTCTCTTGAGGTCAAGGGATGAGGAACCCAAGGCCATCTGATCGGTAGACCAGATGCCACAAAGGCAGCTCTCTGGCCAGGCAGGGTCAATTTCTAGAAGCACTGAAATTCTTATATAAGGAAATCCAGAGCATCTCTTTGCACTGAGGTCTAGAATGTGATACACAATATTTAACCCTCCATCGGGTGCAATGCAAAAGTTACGAGTTCAGGCACAATGCATCTACTAGATGCGTATATGACATTTATTTATTTAAATTGAAAATGAATGAAAATAACGTGTAAGCATGCTTATTATTTATTCAGAAAGAAACTTTAATTTACCACAAAGTAAAAACAATATATGTTTATTACATAAATTCAGTATAAAAATCAACAGAAATTCAACACAATCTGTGAGATCAGTTGCGCCCGACAGAGGGTTAAAAAGAAAGGTATTTCTTAGTGACAGCTGCTGCCTTTGATCTCAACGGTGCCTTTCTGCCACAGGAAACAGAGCGACCATCGGCCACTGACCTCTGTGGTCACCTGGTGATCCCCCGGCCATGTGCTTGTCCTACACTGACTGCTCCTGGAGCTTGGCTGATTCTATTCCTTGTATCCTCTTTAATTCTTTCTCTGTCTTTCTTGCTGGCGATCACATTTCATTGGAATCAATGGGCCTGTCTCTTGAAGAATGTCCTCATCTGATTTGCTGCCTCTCTTCAGCTTCTTAAATTAGTTCAGACAACTGAGCTTTGAAACGTGTCGAAAGTCAGAGGACATGTACCCCTAGTGAGGAGGTGAAGCACATGAGCTCCCACGTGACCACACATTGGGTGTCTTAAACAACAAAACACTTAATTTTCTCACAGAAATTTATTTTCTCTTGGAGGCTGGAACTCCAAGATTAAGGC